CGTGTGCTCTTCCGATCTCCCCAAAACCCCAAAACCCCATTGTTTTTATTATAAGATATTTAATGAAAATAGAAATTAAATTACTTCTTAATTAATAATTTAATGAGTTTTTAAGAAACAAGTTAGCTCAAACATATTCTAAGTTCACTTCTTTGTTGTGTAACTGAGGATAATTAGGTAAGAGATGAGCAGACTGTATCACTAGCCTCAGATGAAAATCAGCAGTCAACAGAGTGCCTTAATTTGGTATGATAAACTGAAAAATAAAATACTTAAAATCAAGATATAACTAATTTGTAAAATCTAGAAGAGAGGGAAAATTCTTGCTCTTCTAACAATAATTATCTGATCTAATAAACTAATTTAAATCCTTCTCAATTAGAAGAAGAATAGCTAGATGATGAAGCATTTTATGATAAATTCTGTCTCAATGATTCTGATTCCTCATTAGCTTAGAGCTTGAGATCCTATTCTTTTTCAGAAGTTACTCAGTCAAGATAAATTGATTAAACTAAATCGTATATATTACAACATAATGGAGGATCATCCTAATAATCGCGAAGATCTCGAGTTATGTCTAGCAAAAGTAATAATGAATCTATTACAGAACTAAGCCTTGACCTGAGTGATAAGTCATAAATATTCGAGTATTTGGTAATGGAAGAAAAAGAATCAAAGCTTTTATATTCAAATGACAAAATGTCAAGCGAGATGCTCTAACTCAGTACGAAATCCTCCAAATATTAATTAGATTGCGGAATAAGTTACTTTTTTCAAATGGCATCCTTGAATACAAGTACTTAATTAGATACTCAAAAATAATTTCATTACTCGTAACTAATGAAGCACTTTCAACATCGAGAGAAAGTGACATCTTTCGAAAATAGAGAGACAGTATTATAGACTGGCGCTAATAGTTGCAAAATGTTTAGAATGAGCAGTGGTAGTGGTCTTGCCACCCTGAACTATAAAAACTTGATATAATGTAGAAAAGATTCTATCAAGGAGGTAGATCTTTGCTCTATTCTAACTCCAAAAATAGAGGAACCAAAGCCAATTCATTATAGACAGTCTGATTAATTCAAGAAATCAATAAAATTATCTGATTAAGAAGTAGAAAGTATAAATTTTAGAAATTAAAGGACTTCACTGAAAGAAATATATATCAGTTCCAAACTAATGGCTTCTGAAAATTAATAAAACTCATTTTAGGTTTACAAAAACCAATGATAACTTATAGACTAAGTCATCCTTCATTCTCCTTGATGGTTGCAATAAATTCAATACAAATGATTATAACTCTAAACTAATCGTGAATATGTGTGTCATGTTAGAAAAATGATAGATGACATTTATTATAGAGCAAGAACAAAATATTTAACTGAAATATATATAATTTTAATTCATATTCACGGTAATCTATTTTAGATAAAAATAAAATAAATTTCATTTCTTAATCTATCAATCCTATTTTCTTGATTGATGTCTTGAGGGGTTTTGGGGTTTTGGGG